AAATAATCAACACTGTGGAATGAAATGCCCAAGTTGTTGACAGGACATATGTAATATAATACCATTTACCCAAAGCCATCATTGACAAAAGTCTGAAAACATGCCAACATACATTGTGAACAAGAACATGCCCGGGAGTGTAAACACAAGCTTGGCAAGAGTAAATAGCAATTATCCAAGAGCAGTGACTTCTAAGAAGTTTAATGGGGCAGACAGGCACCTTGCACAGCACCCATTGTGGTCTATAAAGAATCTCCAAGGACATCAAGGTAAGTTACTTGAATTTGATAAAGCGGGACATGGATATGGGTGTTCATTGTGCTATCACTTTGTATACATTAGAACAACTACATTTTTAAAGGTTGTGATTAAAGATAGACCATTTTTACCTGGACCTGGTGGCAGAGGCTCATAATTCCAACTACTTGAGAGGCTGAGGCAAGAGGATCACAACTTCAAGGACTTCCTCACCTGCAGAATGATTTCTGGCCCACTGGGAAAGCTTAGGGAGACCTGTGTCAAAAATGGAAAAATAAAAAACCAAAACACAAAAGCAAAACAAAACAAAATAAAAAAGCTGGGCAGTGGTGTCTCACACCTTTAATCCCAGCACTCAGGAGGCAGAGGCAGGTGGATCTCTGTGAGTTTGAGGCTAGCCTGGTCTATAAAGCGAGTTCCAAGACAGTCAGTGCCGTTACACAGAGGAAACCCTGTCTCAAAAAAACAACCAACCAACCAACCAACCAACCAACCAAACAAACAAACAAACAAGATTAAGAAGATGAGCCAATAGTTAGAGCACTTGCCTAGTATGTAAGAAGCCCTAGGTTCAGTCTCCAGCCTCCCTGCCTAGCCTCAAAGATTTTAAAACATCTTTTTAATGCATCAAGGCAATACCCTATTGAATTCATCCTAACAGCAAAATTGAATTGTCTACAATCAGTCAAATGCTTCAACCAGTTTCATTCCTATTTCCCTAAGTTGACTTTCAAGGCACCTGGAAAATCTTAAGCTAAAAGCCTTTCCTGGGAAGATCTGGAATGACTGCCTTACCCGCCCCTCTACTCCCTGTCTTGCTGCAAGACTCTTAGGCCTGCCCAACATTATTTGGCTCCATTTGTATGTAAGAAAAAGCATTCTTAAAGAGGAAATTACTTTGCATACAGCCTCCACAAGGTATTTTGTTGACCCAGTTAAGCTTAGAGGGTGCACTGGAAGCAGCTCCAAGAGGCCAGGCTAGAGCTTGCTCAGCCAGAAAGAGTGAGGAGAGGCTGAGGACTCACAAAGACACACCTAAGGATCCAAGATGCTCTTGAGTAGGTCCTTGTAGAAATGGGAGTAGTGTGCATTGGTCACAGAGAGATGGCAGTGCTCAGGTATGCCCTGGCTGAGGCCTCTGTTTGCCTCATACACAGCCATGTCATGCTGAACAAGGGGAGGTGGATGCCTGACTGTTTCAGTCTTGTAGTCTTGGGCTGGTATGTCCGTGGTTGCTTTCCCACCTCACTCTCTTCTTTCCATGGTTAAACCAAGAGTACCATGCCCCAAACAGGTGCTTTCCAAGGTCTAATAGGGATTCTGCTCACAGTCTTTATAGAAAATGTTCTCTGAATGTTTAATATGCAATCTTCATGCAAACAAAATAAATTCCTTGTCATCTAGAAACCACAGTGGCAGTATGTGTGGTGGTGGTCAGTTGACTTTTTTTTTGTTTTGTTTTACAAATTACACTTTGTAAACTTGATTTTTTTTTTTCTTTTTCACCTGGAATGTTCTATGTTCTGTAAGATGCTGGAGCTGAGCCCTGATTAGCTTCCATGTGGAGTCCAGATGAGCTGTAAGTGTAATAGCAGGTCATTTTATCTCAGCCGGTCATTTTATCTCAGCCGAGCCTCAGCTTGAAGAGAAGAGAGCCTGGAGGGCTGTTGGGGTAGAGGATTGGGGATGTTTGCTTTTGTGGTAATGTCTGCGCCTCTCTGCCGCTACCTTGTTTTTTTTCTCTGTAAACAGGCTGAGCTGGCTTTGTCTTGAATACTGTGACTGTCACAGATGTGGATTTGGGTTCATTTTTTTTTTTTTTAACATCACTGTTCTAGGGGCCTGTCATTACCTCATGTTCTATTTTTTGTTTTTTCTAAATCTGGGAAAATAAGTGGGATAACAAGGTGGCTTGAAGTTCATGAAAATTCAGAGGCAGTAAACACTTTACCAAAAACAACACTTAGTTAACCTATGTAATTTATGTAAAGTACTACAGCCTAGCAGTCTCAACTCTGGACCTCCTTTCTCCTGTGATGATGCAGGTGGTGGAGATTCCTGTACCACACCCAGTGTGTACCAAATCCAGTGCTCACCAAATGCTTGGACTTGCATTGTCCCTGGTTTTGTAACCCTCTGCCCCACTCTGAAGCTTGGCCACAGAATATGCACATAAGTAATTAATTTGGGATGTGACAGTCAGGGAAGCTGATTTTCCCATGTGAGATAACTGAAGAAGTTAGGACATCACAGTGAGGAGCTCAGCCTGTGGCCTCACTAAGTGCTCTTCAGGCATCTTGGAAAAAAACTTGCATCTCCCACAGTTGGAGCCTTCAATACTGTGCTGACAGACAGCAGCCATGAGGACTGTTGGTGTGGCAAACCGTGTTAAACTCTCTTTGAGGATGAGGAGGCTTGTCAATGGAAACCGACATAACACAGCTTGCTGGGTATCAGTGATAATGCTGACCCAGATTTCAACTCCTTAAATTTCAGAAGTTGAGTGACTGCTTACAGAATTCTAGTTTGGGGCAGCAAGTTGCAGCTGTTAGTGTGATGAGGCTTAGGATGGGGTGGGGGCACATGGGATTGGGCATAGTGAAGTTAGGAGATTAGGAGAAAATAGATAGTTAGGAATGGAAGCTTGAGAAAAATGATATTCTCTTGGATTTTCACAAAATGATTTATAGTTGGAGAGGAGTGTTGCTGAGTGGGAAGGTGCTGTGGCCACCACACCATGGCTGAGAGGAAGGTGACCAATAAATGGTTCAAAGCCAAGTGTGGTTGTGCATGGCCAGAATCCCAGAGCTAGGGAGGCTGTAGGGAAGAGGAGCAGGAGTTCAAGGCCAATTTCTGCTACATATGGAGCTTGAGGTCAGATGTAGGAGACCCTGTTACCCACAAACACACTTACACAAGCATACACACATACACACACAGTCACACAAATACACAAAAATACACACACACAGACATACATATACACACACATACATACTTACACAAACACACAAATACACTCACAACCACACATATATATAATCACACATATACACATATACACAAAAATACACCTGTATACACAAACATACACACATACACAAAATATACACAAACATACATACAAACACACATACATACACACACATGCAAATACACATACACACATATACAAAAACACACATAGACACACAAACACACACACCACACACACATACACAAACATACACAATCACATCAATACACAAAAATGTATACACATACACACAGAAACTAACATACATAGATGTTCTGGTGGACGCTCCATCTCAACTCCCCTCCCCCATCTCTCTCTCCCTAAATCCGCCCCCTCAAAGCCCACCAAACAGCAGCCCCTCCTTTAGAGCTGCCCTCTTGCTCCAGACCCACCTCTCAAAGCCCACCAAAAGCCAGTCCCTCCCTGGGGCTGCTCAAGACCATGCCTACAGGTTCCTTAGGGCCTGGTAGCCATATCTGCCATATGACTCTTCCTCTGCCTTTCCAAGGGTCACCCAGGATTGCTTTGCTCTATTTATTAAACTTGGATTTATTAATTTGGCCCCATTGGCTTATTACATCAGTGGAGGTGGATACTCAACAACTAGGGATTCAAAGCTTATCAATATACACACACACACACAAACACATTATACACACACATACACAAATGCATACACAATCACACATACACATACATTCAAACACACACCTATATATATACAAACACATACATATATACACACAAACAAGTACACATACACAAACATGCACAAAACATACACACACACACACACACACACACACACACACAGTCCAAATTGCTTAGCAGACACACCACTGCAAAAAAATAGAATTCTTGGGTTGGAATATATAGTTCAGTATGTGTATATATATACATACATATATATATGTATATATATATATACACACATATATATATGCTCATATAGATCTTACTTGGAATGTTCTAGGCCCAGGTTTCATCTTCAGCACCACAAAAACAACAAGCAAGAATGAGAGCAACCCACAGTGTTGAGTTATTCAAAGCTCAAGGCTATCACGTGGGTTGACCATTTTTACAACACCAGATAATCATTAAACACATTTTAGCTTTCAACATAGGTCTTTCATTAAACATATCTTTAATGTATTTTTGTGAGAGCATGATTGTAGAACTATGGTTCAATCCTAGAAACATTCTTTATCCTAAAAGAATAATGAAAAATAAAATGTGAGAAAGAGCAAAAAACATAGTGGTGCTAACTTGAAATCATAAAGTTTAAATTCTGTATATGAATGTATATGCCCAGAGGTGGCATAATCTAGGCACCTCTGTCTAGAGCAGCGGTTCTCAACCTTCCCAATGCTGCAACCCTTTAATACAGTTCTTCATGTTGTGGTGACCCCCAACCACAAAATTATTTTTGTTGCTACTTCATAACTGTAATTTTGATTCTGTTATGAATCATAACATAAATGTCTGATTGCAGGATGGTCTTAGATGACCCCTGTGAAAGGGGGTCATGAGCCACAGGCTGAGAACCACTGGTCTAAAGGTACTGAAAGGTCCCAGGTGGCCTCACTCAGTGATATTTGCTTTCATACAAACCTGGTATTAGGATTAGGTAATGGTCACAGAGTAGTCTGGTCTGCATTTGGTACCAGAGGAGTGAAAGACTCCTCTGCAGGGAAGAGCCAGCCGCTCTTTTGGGTTAACAAGTTACCATTCCTGGAGGACTGAAAAAATCCCCATATACCTTCTGGAGAGGGTTACCTTCACTGCCATGGCCACTGCCAAAGCAGCTTCCCAGAACAACCATCTTGTAAAGAGCAGAACAGTACTTATCAAGGGAACCATTTTGCTTCCTTCCAAGTGAAGTATCCCCAAGCGTGTTGAGCTTGGCAAAGTTTTTCCTCAAGTTTATTAGTGTCATAGGTCTTGAGAAGGAAAATATAACAAATCAATGTGCACATGAGTTTGTGGGTTCAAGGTGCTTTCCTTGACTGGTGTTCTCCCAGCCCACCATAGAAATGCAAAGACAAAAAACACTCCTGACATAGAATTTTAAAAAGTGAAAATGTAACATAATCCATATAGGGCTGTACAGGTTTTCTATTTCCAAACTGGGATCCAAAACTTTTAAAACAATCTGCAAGATAAACATAGGTGAATTTATAATATGGTATCCCCAAATATAATTGTCTCATTTTCTCTTAGAGAAGAGATCTTGACTCTGTCAAAAGGCCTTTGCGTCTCAGCTGGTGTTGGTTTTTAGGTTATCATTGGGATTTGTATGAGAGGAAGTACCATCAGAGGTGACTGAGTGATTCACCAGGACTGCTGGCTCTTGCTGCATAGGTGTTGGAGTAAACAGAGGAGGAGGCTCCCAGTGGGCCTTTGGCAGAGTGGTGGACAACTCAGAGAATTATCACCAACCTAGACCTGGAAGGCATTTCGGGGACTGTCCCCTGACACCAGGTCTGTTCTGCCTGATTAAGCAGCATCCTCCAACTCTCTTCCCACCCTGCCCCTCTCCCAGCCACCAGTTATGGGCAGAGGGATGTTCCTGAGGTTCCACCTGGGTGGTTTGCAGAGCAGGCAGTGGGAACATCCAGCTCAGGGTTGCTGCTGGCTGAGTGGCTGCTTTGCAAAGCTTGGGTCCCCAGGCCATGGTGCTCAGTTAGATTTTAGGCCTTTGCTTCTTCAGCTGAGCACACTTGTGCAGGATTATTTCTGATAATGCTTTTATTATTTACTATTCAGTTCTCTTCAACGTAGACCAACAGCTCACACCACATTTCAGCCAATACTATTTAAATTTAAGTTAAGCATATTATAATGTTTAATTTATGATGAACTAAACCCAGAGAAAGAAGTGGCACCCCAACACCAGTTGAGGGTTCAATAACCAAGTATCTGGATTCACGAACCAGTTCTCTCACTTCTGAGGCTTGGCCCACACTGATGCCAGGGAAGGAAGCTACAGTCTTCTGAAGAATGCCTGAGCATGTTCCAGGTGCATCCAAAGTCTGTGGAACATTCTGCTAACATTGCAGCAGGTTGAAAAGTCTATGAAAAAGTTTATATACATCACAATGATTAACGAAAGCAGATCAGATTACCTACCTTGAACATTTTCATTTTTAAGTTCATATCATGCTTTTTTTAAAAAGTCTATTATACAATTACAATCGTTATACCTAGATCTCATTCCAAGAAGTGGATATTTATTTATCAATGCACATTTCCTCAGAATCTAATTACACCTTGAAAACATTGCTGCTGTGTAAATAATTAATGCAAGAACATGGCATATAAGTTGTAGTGGGTAGCCATTCCAGCTTTGATCTGGAAGTTCCAACCCCCATTGAGACTTCGGCAACTGCCACGCCTACAAGGCGGGGCCAAGGGAGGCGCCGGGGGACCCGAGATCTGGATCGGCGGGCGCTCTCTCTGTTGCGGGACCCTGGACTGGAGAGGTGGACTGAGCAGAGCTCCAGAGAACACCGCTGGACTGTGATACACCTTCCCCAGACTCCGCGACCTACCTATTCCTTAATTTGTAAGTTACGCCATTAAATAAATCTCCTTTTAACTACGTGGAGTGGCCTTAATAATTTCACCAATACGTCAATATTTCAGAGCATTTTGTTATGGCTCTCCTTCCCTCAAATACTTTTCCTCAGGCAAACCCTTAAACATTATTAAAAACCCATCTATGAAGTTTGTGTTGATTGCTTAGGGCAAACTGAACCTCTTAATTAAGTTCCTTGCATTCCAATTATATATACATCTCTGCACTTTGTGTTATAATTTGCTATTTCTGTTGTATCCATGAGAGATGGTGAAGTTCTTTGGGGTAAAGACTCATATGACTTTTTTTCCCCCCATATCTGCTTATTTTTATTTCTTTTTCTTTTTTTGTTTTTTCGAGACAGGGTTTCTCTATGTAGTTTTGGTGCCTGTCCTGGATCTCACTCTGTAGCCCAGGCTGGCTTCAAACTCACAGAGATCTGCCTGGCTCTGCCTCCCCAGTGCTGGGATTAAAGGTGTGTGCCACTGCCGCCTGCCTATTCTTTTTCCTTTTATGACTATAAACTGATCCCAGTCTCCTAAAATTAGATTTTTAGTGAGTGATTTAAAGTGATGTGTGTGTGTGTGTGTGTGTGTGTGTGTGTGTGTTGGGGAGACAGCTTCGTGGGCTTGCAAGCACAGGTACCTGAGTTTACTCCCAAGGACTTTGTGTCTCAGCACTGGGGAAGTAGACATATGTAGATCCCTGGGGCTCACAGCATCACCAGCCTAGTAAAAGGACAGGAGTCAGCACAAGACACCCCAACACCAAGTTCTCAGCCCAAAGGAGATTAGTTTGCCCCAGAGGGAATAAGGACAGGGAATAAGAGACAAAGACAGGGGATAGAGGACAAGGGAGAACTGGAAGGGAACAAGGAGGAGGGGACACAAGACTGCCTCCAGATGGAGAGACGACAGGCATAGCCCATAGGCAAATGGCAGTTTATAAAGGGAAAAGGGGAAACCCTTTGTTAGGATGAGGTGTTTAGTTTTAACTGGCCATGTTAATTAGGTGATCCAAAAATGGGATTTTTTGGTTGCTGAACTTCAATATTTTGATAGCTGGACCTTGGTGGCCAGCCTCAGAGGGAAGTAGTCGAATAACGAATAGACCTTAGTGGCTAGCTTTAGGAATGCAATCTAACAGTTTATCAAGACAGAGGGAATGGGGGAAGGGCAAGGCATGCCAGAGCCATGTTTGCTAAGTATGGGCTTACTAGAGCCCTTCACCCTAGCCTAGATGGTGAGTCCCAGGCCAGTGAGAGGCAACGTCTCCAAAAAAAGGTGAATGATGTCAGAGGAATCCTCTGGCCTCTACATGCGTATGCACAATGTGTCCATGCACTTGCACACGGATACACACAGACACACAGATTGTAGTATCACCACCGCTCTCTGACAGCCCTTAGAAGACACCAAATCCTCCTCTTCTGGCTCTGTCTTCTTTCTAAGTGTTTCCAATTCCTACTCTTTTTTTCCCAGAGACTGTCCTCATCTGGTTCTTGTGGTTGCTGTCATCCTAGCACTTGACATTTCTTGCCTTTGTCCTCTATAAGATTTTTATTAACCATATAGTCACTGAATAACAAGCAATGTTTTCTATTTCAATTAATTCAAGAACAAAGCCCAGGTGATGAAACTAGAGTGTAGGCTTATTTGGTTTTTGTTTTCCATTAGGAATCCAGGAAGACAAATTTTGGGTTGATATGGTACATTTTTGGCCATAAAGGGGGTGGCAGGCCTGTCCTCAGTACCTTAAAGGTCAGAATGAGGTAGCTGAAGTAGAACAGGGCCTCCAGGTCCAGTTTAATGCTGACATGATCAATACCTAAAGAAAAACCCAGCAAGAAGAATATCAGTGATAGTGAGAGTCCTGCTTATTATGTTCAACCTTGCTAGTGGCCCATGCAATTAAAGCCCTGTAAATTCACTGGGCTTATGGTCTGAATGCTTTCCCATCTGTAGCTGATGTCCCAGGAAATCCATGTGAAGGCACGATAGGTTCCACCCTGACTGTTCATGTGCATGGTTTGGTGGCAACTTACATGATCACTGTGTGGCAGTGCCACACACTCCCCAAGGAGTTCCTGGCTACTTCTAGTGGGGGCAAAGGGGGTTCATTTTCTTACACAAATACCTGGAGTGTACATGACTTAGAGTAGCAAGCCAGAATACACTGAAAGCAACCCACCCTTTTCTTTTTTTTTTTTTTTAATATTTCAATGTTTATTCACATGCTTTGTTTTCTCTTAAGAATCAAAGTTGCCCAAATTAAAAACTTTCTGCTAATATGACTACATATGCCATAAAAAGAAAGAAAATAAAGGAAAGAAAACATATAAGGGCTTTTTAAAAATTAGGACAGGAAAAGACTGAAAACCAAGTTCAAGTTCTCTTAGCTCCAAATGAAATGAAGTTAAGAAAACTTAGTTTCTAATAGGGAAAACAAAACAAAACAAAACAAAAAACCCAAATCCAAGCATCAGCATCATTCTCCCTACTCTGCCCCCACCCCACACACCAACAACAAACAAGAAAGGGCAGGAGCTCACTGTATTGTGGGCCACTCAAAAACACGGGCCTGGTCCTAGGCTGTGGCCAGCATCCTCTGTCCAGTGGGACAAACAACACCAGGGATGTGTACTCTGCTGTCTTAGGGTTTTGTGTGGCTGGTGGGTTGTGGGGTGGGAATTGCAGGATCTTCTGGAGGCTCCCTGTTTAGCTCCACCAGCCTCTCCTAGCGCCTTTCTCCCCTGGGCAAGGGCTCCAACAAGAGTGGCCCCTACTCAGCTGTGGGCTGTAAACTGTCCTTCTCTTCTCTGTTCTCTGTCCCACTCTCATCATCTTCAATTTCTTCTTCCTCCCCACTGAACTTGTCGTGGGCCCACTTGGGGCTGGCACTGGATTTCTGGAACATGAACCGACCCTGACCCTGGGGGAAGTCTCCTCGGCCACGGCCACGGCTCACCCACTTGTCCCTGCCTTCACCTTCCCGGTCATCATGCAAGTAATACTTCTTGCTTTTGGATGTGTACTCTGGATCCCATTCCTCTTCCCGGTTTCTCTTTTGAAAGTCATTGTTGCTGTTGTTGTTATTGTTACCAGAATAGTTTCCTCTGCCCCAACCTCTCTCTCTTGCTCAAAATTGAAAGGTTCCGCAAGCTCTGCCGCCTCTTTCATTTGGACCCACGAAGTCTTTGGTCCCCAGTCTGGATTTGTCTGAACCTGTGGTGGTCTCCTCCCTCTCCTCTGCTTCCTCGGGGTACTCCTCTGCTTTGTAGGAGAGAGATGAGTGGGAAGAGGAAGAGGAGGACCTCGACCCGTCTCCTGCTCTGTGGTGCTTCTTCTGCTTCTTTGATCCTTTGTGAGTTTTCTCTTGTTTCCTCAGTCGATCTTTCTCTTGAGTGGCTAGAGTCTCGGGAATCTCCACCGACTCTCTTGATTTACCTCGCTTAAGATCTCTCTCCTTATGCCTTTTTTTTTTTTTTTTTTTTACGACGCTCAGTATCAAGGCGGAGATCAACAGGATCATCTTTGTATTTGCCTTTAGCCTTGTAGCCAGCTTCCCGGGGACTTTTCATTTCCTCGTGAGTCAAACCATGTTTTCTGAATGTACTGGGGGAAATGTCTATCCTCCTGTGTATCTCTGGGCTTTCCTTATTTTTAGCTCCTTGTTCGTTTCCTCTCTTTAGGTATTTAGTAAAACGTTCATGTAATGTCATTCTAGAGGATCCAAAGTGATGTTCTTTAACATGATGAACAATTAATTGTCACTATGTGCTGAGCAAACAATTCTGAGAGGCTACGCTGAGACTGAGCTGACTGTATGTGCTGGAAAATGGAACAAAATTCCTCTTCCTTTTTATTGCTATGGACTAGGTCACAAAAAAGCTTTCTTTCCTGAGCCAATAAGCCACTGGGTCTTTCTGTGTATGCTGCTCCTCCTGAAGCAACGCTCTCCTCTTTCTGAGATGAACCATATGTAGAGCCAGTGGCTGGAGGACTCTTACCCACAGGGCTCTTTTTAGATGGACTCAAAGACCCAGAGCCATGGTCAAATTGACCTTGGTGTGTTCCAGACTGATATCCAGCACCACCTGACATAGACGAGCCCATCTGGGATGTATTAGAAAGTGGAGGACTAGGTCTTGGCGCAGGGCTAGGGCGTGGTGACCTTTGCCTAACCACCACAGACTGGAGGGGGCTTTTGAGAGCTGGGCTTCTCGCCCGGGGGCTCAGATCAGAAACTGAGGCCCTTGATGCAGAACCAGTGCTATAGGTGGTGGCATCTGACCATGGCTTTGAGCTCTCAGACCCTTTTATATCTTGAGAGGCACCTCCAGAAAATGTCTTCTCCTTGGCCTCATCTCCCTGGTTATCACCAGCTGCCTGAGATGGCATGCTATCCTTGGAAGAGGACTTTTTCTCTTTTGTAGACTTGCGCTTAGACGATTCAACCCTGCTGTGGTTGGAGGATGACCGGGAGGATGAGGAGCGCCTTGACCTGTCAGAGGATGACTTATCAGAATTCTCCTAGAATGGTTCCTGGACAGTGGCGAAGGGGACCTTCTCTTTGGGAACCGGGATAGGAAACGGCCCAACAAGGGCTGTATGCTTGCCGGTAGTTCTGCCAGTTAGACCGATAGTACCCACCTCGGTTATACTGGCCCCATGGATAAAAGCCTCGGTTTCGCCTACAGAAATAATAGGGCCTCCGGCAGCCTCTGTTGTGGCCTCGGAAATCTCGATTCTGATACACTCAGGGGTGATTCCTTTCTCTGTTATGAGCTGGAGAGTATGATCTGGAATGAGACCTAGAACTCAGCCTGCACTTCCTTGAACGGGAGACAGATCGGTTTCTGGACCGAGACTTGGAAAATGATCGAGACCGAGATCTGGATGCAGATCTTGAGTGAGAAGATCGAGACCCAGACTTGGATTTGTTTGTTTTTGACATTTTGGAAGACAGGGTCGCTGTTCAATGAAATCTGGACCCGCCGAAGCGACTAAAGCAGCAGTCTCACAACAGCACAACCCGCCCAAACCTAACCCCCGCCCAACAGTGCCAACCCACCCTTTTCTTTTTCTTTCTTTTCTTTTTTTTTTAAATTTTGTGGTGGTATTTATTATTTGTCTTCTTTTTTAAATATTTATTTAAAAAAGTGTTCTGCCTGAATGCCAGAAGAGGGCATCAGATCTCGTGATAGATGGTTGTGAGCCATCATGTGGTTGCTGGGAATTGAACTCGGGACCTCTGGAAGAACTGCCAGTGCTCTTAACCACTGAGCCATCTCTCCACCTCCCACCCTTTCCTTAACAGCTGTTAGCAGTCATTGCAGCTACAATTTGTCACTTGACATAAAACATGAACTGGATCGATCGATCCCCTTTGGAATGGGAATTTGTGGTTCTCTCTGTGACTATGGAGGTGACAAAATCCATTTAGGACTTGGTAGTTAGTCAGCTCTAGCACAAGCCTGAAGCATCTGTCCTGTTCTGGCCCAATGGAGGCCCAGAGCTCTCTAGGATATTACTGTTCCAAAGGAGGCAAACTATGAGTCAGGTGTATAATTTAAGAATGTGTAGCAGCTATATTTAAAAAAGGAAAGAGGTAGATTGATTTTAATAATATGTCAAACCATATAAAACATTATTTAAATTAAAAAAATTACTAACACTTCATTATATAGCTCCTTCCCCAATTCTATCTTAGACACCAGGGTATTTCCACATTGATCGAGTATCTCTTAAGTGCTCAGTGGCTCTTCCACCTTGGGGTCACAGTTACACTGGGCTACATGGCTCAGGAAAACCATGGCCAGTCTGCTGTGAATGGAGGATGGTTAGAGCTCCAAGTGGGTAGCTTGGAAAAGTTTCACTTCACAACTGCACTTCAGGTTGGGCTTTAGACCTCCACATTAGGAGATATGCTTCCCTTCTCTACAATGCGTTGTGGAGACTCTGCCTTCTGTGCAATAATTCCTGCTGTGAGAAGTGGAACGAATGCTGAACACATGGGACAGAATCAGCATTAGGCAAAAATGACACCATTCATCATCAGTGAAGGGGGGCCTTGACAGAGCCAACATAGAAAAGCTGGGATGCAGGAGGACCTCCTAAATGAGATGGCAGCCAGCAGATACCACTCATGCATTGTAAAGTGGATGTTGTAGAAAGACGCTTCATGGTATGAATGCCCTAAACGATCTCATGTGGTATGATTATCCCTGAAATTGCTATAATTAGAGTGTTTTGTTTGTTTGTTTTGTTTTTTCGAGACAGGGTTTCTCTGTGTAGTTTTGGTGCCTGTCCTGGATCTTGCTCTGTAGACCAGGCTGGCCTCAAACTCACAGAAATCTGCCTGGCTCTGCCTCCCAAGCGCTGGGATTAAAGGTGTTCACCACCACCCAGCAATTAGAGTGTTCTTAAGGAAGCATATTTACAAGCCTGAAGGGAACAGAGATGCTGGATCCCAAAGTGCCATGCAAAGGTGATGAATGGTGGTCAAGAGAAATTCATCAGTGTTGAATAGAGACTAATAGGAGTGAGGAAGCCTCAACAGAGAGGTTCCCTGTGGAAGGAGGTGTGTTAGGGCCAGGAGACCCTCAGCTGCAGTGGGATGAGAAGGCTGCCTTGCTGGGTTGACAAGGTCAGACTAATAAGTACAGAAGGCCAGGACCAGTGTGGGCTCAGCATTGCTCTGTTCATAGACAGAGAAGGGCATGAATCCAGGAAGGAAAGTTATTCAGTCTGCAGCCAATTTTCCTTCCAACTCAAAATTTGTTTTAATCTTTGGCTTGCAGAGAGAAGTACACTGTTCCGTCTGTCTGTGTCCTCATGTGCTGACCAGGAAGAAGCCCCATACTCATTCTCAGCCCTCCCCCTGGCCTTTAGTGTATATCAGTATGTTCCATATCAGGCTCAAATTACCAATACTTAATAAATGTTCTTTTAGTTTTTAACAAAGAACAAAGGATACAGAGCTATTTTCTTCCTCTGCATGGGAAAGAGTGAAGCATTCTGAACACATTCTGACTTCTCTGATGGGAAATAATCTTTTTTAATGTGAAAACACAATTTGTTCCCAGATGAAGCTTCCCAGTTTAGGTGGATAGCCTCCTTCTGTGACATCAATGAAGCCACCCAAGGAGAAAGGAATCTTACTGAAATATGAAGAAGTGAAAAACCAGAAAGGAATACTATTTTCAGATTGCCACCATTTCTTTTCTTTTTCTGGTTTGATATTTATAATTCTATTCTCAGTGGTGTGGCTGTCACACAAGGCTCAGGAGTCACAAGACAGAATAGTTCTGTTTCTTCTGGAAAACATCATTAAAATGAAAAATAAAGAATTAGTGCTGATTTGAATTGAAAAACAAGCCATCCCCACTACATTTAATCTTTCAATCTGACTAAAAATAAAAAAGCAGAGGAAATAATAACAGGACATCACTTTTCCCATCAATAGGCTCTTAAAGTAAAGTAAAATATGAACTAGAAATTTCATAAATTTGAAAAAATCCTCAAATTCACATTAAACTAATTTTCTCTCATTTAAGAGGCAGATATTCTGGAGCATTCTTTTTGGGTTAGAATCATTTCCCTTAGACGATGAAAGGGATATTTAGCAAGAAATCAATGAACTACTTGGGTCCTGGCTTATCTGCCATTGCTATCCTTTTCCTCTCAGATTTTATAGTTTTGATAGGAAAGCTTCCTTGGCATACATCTTTATGATACTCTTGTAAACTTAGGAAAAAGTGTTTGTTCATCTCACAATAGAGAGGCTCAGTCTCCTGTCCTGCAGTCTAAGGAGATCTTATTAGTGAGCTGGAAGGAATGCTGCTTAGGCCAGATATTCAAAGGTGCGAAGAGCCAAGTCTGCCATTTAGGCTTGCTTAATAAATGTGTCCAGCAGTGGCTCTTCTTAAATTCCACAATCACTCCGCAAGATTTCCAAAGCATGCATAGATGGACTGCTCAACTGCTCTTGACCAGCACTGGGAAGACTCTGATTTCCATAAAACCTCCAGGAAATGGCTGCTGTGATCCTCTGTGACAGAAAACATGTACAACAGCACTGCTCTTGGGTGGGTACTCAGTGAACATTGATTATATGTTCTAACTGTGATTTCCAGGCCCAGGCATGGTCTGGCTGGGCTTAGATGCCAGGAAAAGGAAGAGAGTCATGGGAGTCTAGAAGGTTGAAGAAACTTCAAGGAGATTTATGCACTCCAGATCAAGGCTGCTAGATATGCAGCCACTGGCAAGCATCCAGATACATGCCAACTCATATGGGCTACACAGGGCCAGGTAACCCACAGGCTGCACAGTGGCAGGCCTACAGGCTTACAGACAAAAACACATAGGCAGGCTGGCAAAGGCAAAGGCTCTGGCCTCCAATAGCAAGACCATATTCATGTAGAATCACACAAAAGTGGCACTCTACCAAAAGCAGTTCTACAACAGATTATATAACTTTATTTTGGGGTTCTTCAGAAATCGGTCATTTTGTGTTTAGACATAGATTTCTCCATCAGACCACACCCTGCCCAAGTCTGCTGTCAGCCATATTTTTGCTGACTCATACCAGATATTCATATAAGCACCATGTTTAAATGTAAATTGGCCCTTAGGATCTTCTATGTCAACACACCAGCCATTTGCATTTATTCTTGCCTGCCATCACTTTGTTCACTGGGCTGTAGCCACATTTGATTTGTGTTCTTCTTCAAGTACAGAGTTTTTCTGCCGTGGAGTCTTAGGACAAGCTGATCTCCTCCTTAATTTTTTTCTTTTCTCTTGCTTATCCCTCTTTCATATTCCCATTTAAATGGCAATCCCTAAAAGAGTCTGTCTAAAATGATGACACCTTCCCACCCCCATGGCCTTCTGCCACACTATATACTTTACCTTATTATATACATTTTCTAAATCTTTGTGTGTGTGTATGGCAAGGGAATTGCATTGAGTCTTAAACCCAGGGTTTTTGTCCATGCTAGGCAAGCACCCTACCACTTAACTTCATCCTCAGCCCTGTTTTCTAAATCTTTATCAGTGCTTGAGTACAGGAGTTCAATTATCATCTCCAAAGTTAGAATTTAAGCTTAACAAGTACTTTACTTAATGCTATGTTTCTATTACTCCAAATAATGTCTTTACTATTGTAGCTGTTCAATAAAATCTGCTGAGTGAAATTAGTGATGATATTAATGAATATTTCAGATAGAGTCTGCCAAAGTAAACCAACCCAGTAAGAGGTCTGTATAATCAGCTTAGTTTTGAGTAGCTTGCTTCAATGTCTTAGAAGAAATAAAAAAATGTCTTTTTTTAATATTACAGCCCAATGGGTGTTAGCTCAATTTCACATATAAATAAACTTGTCCCAGATCTGCCCAAGAAGAGCAGCAGGATTCTTGTGATCCCAACAAAAGAGATGGCATCTTCAAAGAGGCATAGTCTGTTGTCATGGTCAATGGATCCCACAATGGGGTCTTATAGTGGGTGATGCACAGACCTGTCTTGATGTGAAGCTTCTGGACAACATGCTTAGCTCAGTGTCTCTTTCTTGGACAGCTGGTGAGAGGACCACTGTGTAAGTCACACAAGTGGTTACTTAGACTAGGAGGTGTGAAAAGGAAAAATCAGTAGCCATCTTGAGAGACAACCCCCTCCCTCCTTTAAAGGTATTTGCTGACCAACAGTTTTAGAACTGACCAGAAGTTGAACTCATGGGAGATAAGGCTGAAACAATAAATCTATATATCCTGGGTTCAGCAAAAGCATGACATAGGGAGTAAAAAATTTATGTCATCAAAAAAATTATCCACCATGACCAAGTAGGCTTCATCCCAGGGATGCAAGGATGGTTCAACATACGAAAATCTGTCAATGTAATACATCATATAAACAAACCGAAAGAAAAATCCACACAATCATCTCATTGGATGCTGAAAAAGCCTTTGACAAAATCCAACACCCCTTCATGATAAAAGTTCTAGAGAGATCAGGAATACAAGGAACATACCTAAACATAATAAAGGCAATTTACAGCAAGCCGACAGCCAACATCAAATTAAATGGAGAGAAACTCAAAACGATTCCACTAAAATCAGGAACAAGACAAGGCTGTCCACTCTCCCCATATTTATTCAATATAGTACTTGAAGTTCTAGCTAGAGAAATAAGACAACATAAGGAGATCAAGGGGATACAAATTGGAAAGGAAGAAGTCAAACTTTCATTATTTGCAGACAATATGATAGTATAATAAGTGACCCCAAAAATTCTGCCAGGGAACTCCTACAGCTGATAAACTCCTTCAGTAAGGTGGAAGGATACAAGATTAACTCAAAAAAATCCGTAGCCCTCCTACATACAAATGAAAAAGGGGCTGAGAAAGAAATCAGAGAAACAATACCCTTTATAATAGCCACAAATAATATAAAATACCTTGGGGTAACTCTAACTAAGCAAGTGAAAAACCTGTATGATAAGAATGTTAAGTCCCTGAAGAAAGAAATTGAAGAAGATATCAGAAAATGGAAAGATCTCTTATGATCATGGATAGGTAGAATCAACATAATAAAAAATGTCAATCTTACCAAAAGCAATATACAGATTCAATGCAATCCCTATTAAAATCCCAACACAATTCTTCACAGACCTGGAAAGAACAATAATTAACTTTATATGCAAAAACAAAAACCTTTTGTTTTTTAGGATAGCTAAAAGAATCCTATATAATAAAACCACCTGTGGAGGCATCATGATCCCTGACCTCAAGCTCTTCTATAGAGCTATAGTAATAAAAACAGCTTGGTACTGGCATAAAAACCAACATGTGGACCAATGGAATTGAATTGAAGACCCTGACATTAATCCACATACCTATGAACATATGATTTTTTGACAAAGAAGCCAAAACTGTACCATGGAAAAAAGAAAGCATCTTCAACAAATGGTGCTGGCATAACTGGATGTCAACATGCAGAAGATTGAAAATAGATCCATATCTGTCACCATGCACAAAACTCAAGTCCAAGTGGATCAAAGACCTCAACATAAATCCAGTTACACTGAACTTGATATAAGAGAAAGTAGGAAGTAGTCTTGAATGCATTGGCACTGGAGATCACTTCCTAAATATAACACTAGTAGCACAGACACTGAGAGAAACAATTAATAAATGAGACCTCCTGAAATTGAGAGGATTTTGTAGAGCAAAGGACATGGTCAATAAGACAAAACGACAGCCTACAGAATGGGAAAAGATCTTCACCAACCCCACATCTGACAGAGGGCTGATCTCCAAAATATATAATGAACTCAAAAAGCTAGCCATCAAAATACTGAACAATCCAATTAAAAAATGGGCTATAGAGCTTAACAGAGAATTCTCAACAGAAGAAGCTCAAATGGCTAAAAGGCATTTAAGGAATTGCTCAACATCCTTAGTCATCAGGGAAATGCAAATCAAAACAACTCTGAGATACATCTTGCACCTGTCAGAATGGCTAAGATCAAAAACACTGAAGACAGCTTATGTTGGAGAGGATGTGGAGCAAGGGGAACACTCCTCCACTGTTGGTGGGAATGCAAATTTGTACAACCACTCTGGAAATCAGTATGATGGTTTCTCAGAAAATCGGGAATAAGTCTACCTCAAGACCCAGTTATACCACTCTTGGGCATATACCCAAGGAATGCTCAATCTTACTACAAGGACACATGCTCAACTATGTTCATATCAGCATTATTCGTAATAGCAAGAACCTGGAAACAATCTAGATGCCCCTCAACTGAAGAATGGATAAAGGAAATATGGCACATATACACAATGGAGTACTACTCATCAGTAAAAAACAATGATATCATGAAATTTTCAGGCAAATGGATGGAACTAGAAAATATCATCTTGAGTGAGGTAATCCAGACTCAGAAGGACAAACATAGTATGTACTCACTCATAAGTGGATACTAAATGTGAGGGAAGGGATGGCCAGATTGCAACCCACAACTCCAGAGAGTCTAGCTAACAGGGAAAGACCCTAGGAGGGACACATGGATGACCCTGTGAAGGAGAAGTGGATGAGACCTACATGAGTGGACTGGGTGTGTGTGGGGGTGGCAGAGGGTGAGGAGTGGGGGATGAGAGCATAGGGAAATGGGAGGGTTGAGCTGGAACAGGGACAGAGTGGGGGGGCAGGGAGGAAGACACCATGATAGATGAGGACACCATGGGAATTGGAAGAGGAAGGGTGCTGGGGAGGCTCTCAGGAATCCACAAGGTTGACCTCACCTTGGTCTGCTGGCAATGGTCCAGAGGGTGCCTGGACCAGTCTACTCTAGTGGCCAGCCTAGCAAATAACCTAGCTGTCATCATAGAGCTTTTGTCCAGTAATGGATGGAGGCAGATACAGAGATCCATGGCCAGGCACCAGGCTGAGCTCCAGGAATCCAATTGATGAGAGAGAGGAGAGATACTGCAGGTGAGGGACATTGAGAACATGATAGGAGGATGTGCAGAGATGACTGACCACACTAGTGGAAGCCCATGAACTGTGGACTGGTGGCTGTGGAGCTCCCATGGGACTGGACTAGGACCTCTGGATACGGAAGATGGTTGTTTGGCTCAAACTGTTTGGGGGGCACCCAGGCAGGGGGATTGGGATCTATCCCTGGTCTATGGGCAGGCTTCTGGAACCTGGTGCTTGTGGTGTGACACCTTGCACAGCCTTGGTGCAGTGGGAAAGGGCTTGGACCTGCCTAGGCTCAAAGTGCTGGGCTCTGCTGACTCCCCATGGGAGACCTCGATTTGGGGGATGTCGGGATGTGGGGTGGCTTGGGAAAGAGGGCTGGGGGTGGGAGGAGGGAGGAGGGGGGATCTGCGGATAGTGTGTGGAGTGAGTAGAAAATTTAATAAAGAAAAATGAAAGCAAAAAAAAAATTATGGCCGGGCGGTGGTGGCGCACGCCTTTAATCCCAGCACTCGGGAGGCAGAGCCAGGCGGATCTCTGTGAGTTCGAGGCCAGCCTGGACTACCAAGTGAGTTCCAGGAAAGGCGCAAAGCTACACAGAGAAACCCTGTCTCAAAAAAAACCAAAAAAAAAAAAAAAAAAAATTATGTCTCTATAGATACCCAGAATCCTGTTAGCCATCAGTAACCTCATGCTTATAGATCAGCCAGTAACTTTAGAGAGCTACCTCACCCCTAGCCCCCTTGTCCAATCCCAAGATATGTAACTCTCTAGATATAAACCTTTCCTATATAAACCCTTTCAAGTGAATGCTTGGGACATCCTCCTCCACCCGCTATGTCGAGTGTTTGTAATAAGGACCAAGCCCTGGGGCTTGGTCTATTATTAAGAAACCTCTGTGTGCTTTCATCGGATATTGGCTCTGTGGTGGTCTTGCTTGGGGGTCTTGTGACACAGGCACAACAGCTGCAGTTCAATTTATCATACTTGTCAGTCTGAATTATGTTGATGTTTTCCTTGTTCTCAGTTCTCCCCAACACTAACATCACCACCTCTCTAGCTCAGGCTGTGCTTACTGTTCTCATGCTTTGGCAATAATGAAATGCTCAAGGTTATATCACCAAAGTGGAAGTAAGAAAACTAAAAGAGCTCAGAAATCTTAGGAAGTTTAGAGCTGAAACCAAGCCGGATAATGATGGCTCATGCCTTTAATCCCAGTACTTGGGAGGCAGGGACAGGCAAATCTCTGTGAGTTCAAGGCCAGCCTGACCTAGAGAGTGAGTTCCAGGATAGGATAGGCTCCAAAGCTACAGAGAAACCCTGTCTCTGAAAAACAAAAACAAAACAGACAAAGAAAAAGAATCTGAAACTAGCTTGGCAGTGGTTGTATGTGCCTTTTATCCCAGCACTTGGGAGGCAGAGGCAAGTGGATCTCTGTGAGTCTGAGGCCAGCCCGGTCTACAAAATGAGTTCCAGGGCAGCCAGAGCTACACAGAGAAACTCTGTCTCAAAAAAAAAAATAAAACACAAACAAAGAGTGTGAAACTATTTGCTGTTATTTTGGCACCTGTCTTTACTTACATCTGATGAGAACATTTCATAAAGGA